TATTGTTTGAATCACAAGTTATGGCAAATTACATTATAAACTTTCTTTATTAGCAAAACTTTATACAATGAAACAATCATTCCTAAACAAGCTTACACTGGATATATTTACTGAGCACATACTACAGGTCCAATAGTGTTTTAGACATGCAAATACAAAGGGAATTATCCAATTTCAAACTTATTTTCACTCTTCACTAAGGAATGTCTAGATTTACCTGCAATTGGAAGTAATTAATCTTTAGTGCATTAACTTCCTGAAATAAATTATCAACAGAAGACTCTAACAGAATTCTAGAAATGCCTTCCAAGTAATAAACATGTTCAATTAAAATTACATGCTTGTGACCAGATACCTCTATTTGGAATTATTTTTCTGCATAAAAAGACATTTCCAAAGATGAAAGACATAAAGTCTCAATAGAGATTTGCATTAATGGATGAACATTGGCAATTGATTTTGATAAAAGGAAATGCTAAGCCCAGTTGAGCAAAATGTGAAGTCTAGCCCTTCCAAAAAAAGAAATTTATAGCTTTATTCTTCTACTTAAAAAATCTGCTTGTCCATTGAAAATTTGTGTAAATCTTATCGCTTCCTCCTAGAAATTGAACCCAGTGACTTCACACTGAAGTGCTATACATCGCCAATCTTTTTTTATTTTTTATTTTGAATCAAGATCTCTCCAAGCCATTAAATCACCTAGGCTGGGCTCAAACTTATGATCATCTTGCTTCATCCTCCCAGAGTGCTGAGATTATAGGCACGCACCACCATGACTGGCTGTATTTTCACTCTTTTTATATAAGTATCTACATAATATCTGCAGTTGCACTTCTTAGCCTAAAATGCATGAAATAATGTCTGATTTTACTACCTTTAATATTTAGTGCTTTTCTTTTGAAAGTTGGCTAACTCTTGTATTAAGGTGTGAATCTAAAAAATTTATCAGTTTAGTTTAAATTGTTCAATTTCCAGAGTCATATTTTGAGATTGGACATACCAGATGAAGAAGAACAAGTACAGAAAGGATGCATGTTGCTAGGTTTGATTTTATGTCTAAATAAAAACTCATTGTGATATTAGGTGGGGAACAAACATACTTATTTAGAAATGGTCAATAACTATTTTTTTTGCTTTTTGAGCAAAAATTAGTGTGGAAATTATTATAATCAAGAAATTCTATTTAGATTCATTTTTTCAATCTTGCAAGGTGTCTTTTATAATAATAATATTTACATATCTTAGAGATTATTTGAATTAATTATATTCAGTCCACTGTGTTCTATGTCTAACTCTTTCTTTTCAACATAATTAGGTGTTATTAATGATATCACCTATTCTTTATGTCTTCATTGTAAGCTGTAGAAAGAATATGACACTTCTCATTCATTTATTGTACAAAATTTGTTGTTGTTGTTGTTGTTTGTTTTTTGAGTGCCAGGGATCGAACTCGTGCGCTTGTGCTTACCACTGAGCCAAATCCACAGCCCTGTACAAATGTTTTTTATGTCCTTATTTTGTGCCAGACAATGAAAGATACCTAAAGCAATATGTGAAATATGGTACAAAAGAGGCTTGCCCTTATAGACCTTGAATTTTTACCTTCAGTATAAATTCTGATACATAAAAATAGTCACCAAACTCCTTAAGACTAGAATTTATCCTACAGCATGCTAGTAAAATCTTTGTCCTAAAGTGGGTATTATCTAAGAATTACAGACACTAAAATATGGCTTCAAAAATAAAGCTTTTTTTAACAGGGCCAAAAATTTACTATAAATAGAGAGAAAATATTCAATTGACAATTTAATTTGAAAAATAAAATTAAGAATTATGAATGTCTATTTTAATTTATCTAACATTTATTTAGAAGTTAAATATGCCCCACCCCTTTAAAATGAATCAAGGTTTGGTTTTGGGATGCATATCTTAATTTTTCTAACACTGTATGTTTAATATCTATTCATCTCATTCAACTTTTCAGAATGATCACAAGAATTAGTCTGTGTTACTTGGATAGAAATGTAAGTGCTCAAATAAACAAATGTCTTATCAAGAAGCTTTCTCAGTTTTTTCTCATTACTACGACAAAATACCCAACACCCAAAATTATAAAGGTTTATTTCAGCTAACAGATCATAGAGGTTTCAGTCCATAGTCAGCTGATCCAAGAAAGACAGTGAATCACAGCAGAGGAACACCAAGGAGGTGGATAGTCCTTGACAATACAGGCAGGAAGCAGCAGGAGTGGCAGCAAACAGCAAGCCCCAAGTCTTCCTTTGTCTTTTATTTCCCCCAGGCGACAAGCCTTTTGAGTGATGCCACCCACAGCAGGGTGGGCCTTTCCATTACCCACAGCCAGAACAATGCTAAACAACTCAGTGAACTAATTTAGTGATCATAACCTCAATCCACATTTACACATCCTAGCTCTAGCCACCTTCTACAAAACCCCAGCTATGAGTACATGAGGCTTTGGAGAAAAATCTAGATACAAGCAATAACATCAAGTTTTATGAGTGTGTGCCTAAACATTGATACTGAAGTCACTTTGTCTTGAAGCATCTTTTACATTGTCATCTTTGGCCACTGTGTTAATGGTCCAACCTTTCTAAACCATTCTTCTCAGTGGCCCTCTTTCTAAAAATACTTCTGTGGACTTATTAATTCTAGCAATCTTCATCAAATTTTAATTTTTACTCTACAGTCGATTTGTATTCTAATTATTTCATTTTGTTGTCTTCAGTTAGTTAAACCAAATAAATCAAGTATGATATTGACTCAGTGAGGCAGAAATGAATGCTAGTGGCAATCAGAGAGAGCTTTTAGAATGAATAGTCACAATTTAAATGATTTGTATATTTGTGAATATTTTTGATTGATGGATTCATAGATTTATTTTTGCTTCTTTTTCCAATTCCATAACACTTGAATACTTGAATAATATTTAGCAAAAGAGGATTCCTTGTAGTTTGGAATTATACACACAATTCTAGTCCCAAAGATCCAAAAGAAGACAGGATGATGAATTCACCTTTCTTCCAGAGAAGATAGAGATAGCAGAACTGCCTGAAATTTGCAAATGCTAATCAACATTTGAAAGAACTCAGGAGCCATGCCTTGGTTTGCAAGTCTGAACTCTTGAGCCAAGAGGTGGGAGTCATACTGGAACTGTAGCCTTAAAATGAAGTCAATCTCCCTCGTCTCTCTATGAACTGGAGCCTTGACTTCAATCTTTTCTCAATTCCAGTTTAAACTGCCAATCAACAAATAGGATTGGTATCAAAATCAGCACAGATGTTACACCTCCTAACAAAATTATGCTAATCATCAAACCAACACTAGACATCTACATAGCTAGGACAAAACTCTTTTCAAAAAGATTTATATTGGCACTGGCTTCTAAAATGTGAAGAATAAAACAAAATTTAACATGTGTTCATCCGGAGACCAGAATCTCTCTTCTATCACGAGGCTTTGTAAAAATTCACTCAGAACTTTTCAAATAGATTAGATATTGTTACGTACTTTACTTGCTTGAACACAGGTTCAGTGATTCCTTTTTACAAGTGTGACATCCCCACATACTCTCAGCTAGTCAAGTCAACAGCATGATTTTGTAAATAGAAGAACAAATAGAAGCTAGCTCCTGCTAGAAAATCAAAGCTTTGAAAGGTCACTACAGAAGTGGAAATAAGTTTCTCTCAGTTGTCAGGGTTCTCCTGTGCTCGTTTTTGTCTCTCTTCTAATTATATTTCAAGGGAAGCTACTTCCTTCTCATGGGATATCTGCCTCCTTCAGGGCAGAGGGTTGAGGGGATTGAGTGTTGGCCTCCTCTATAATGCCTCAAGGAGAACCAGGAGAAAAGGTAACATTTCTTATTTTAGTTCGTAGAATGAATGCCATTGTCTAAAAAAATTATACGTATTTAGGGAAAAATGTTTAAAACCACGCTTAACCTATAGAATCATTACAATTTGGGAACATATCATTAGTTATGTATTTTGTGATATTTTATCAAGAACTTTAAATTTAGTATTCAAGTGCACATTTGATAAGTATAGTAAATAATGAAAGAACTATAAAAGTGACCAACATTTAAGTGATAATCCAGTCTTTAAAATCTAAAAGTGATTGCTATGAAGTATCTTAATCTTAACACAGATGTGTAAAAGATTTCAAAGTAACTTTGTTAATTTTTTAATTTTTAAGCAAAAACTTGTGAATTGTTGTCCAAAAGTAGAAAGCCAGATTTGATTTCAATTTAGTATAAATTTTAAAAGTTTGGGTAATGTGTTTTCTGAAAATATACAGGAGATCATAGAAGTACGTAAAACAATATTCTAAGTGCTTAGTTTCTCTATGGTATTGTTTTGCAGCAACTGTTTTTGCCCTTCAAAAGCAAATTTTAATCTACATGTGCACATTTTTTATATTAATAAACCTGGTGGGGAAACAAGACCACCAGGGAGAAAAAAGGCTGAAGTCTTTATTTTGTCACTTTATTGTGTCACTAATCATGTTGTTGAAGCTTCTCAGGCCTCAATTTCCTTCTTTCTATGTTGAGTTTATACTAAAGAGTTATTAGAATCCCAATCTGGGATTTTTAAAAATGCTGAATTAGTGAGGTCTAAAATATCTGTTAATGAAAGCAACAACAAAAAAAAAAGTTTGCAATTTCTGTCATTTTATGCTTCTGCAAAGCAGAAGATAGACTTAAAATTCAATTTTCCAAAGAGCACACATTCAAAGCCCATCACTGTTTATATATAAGAGGTGATTACCAGACGCTGTGCAAGGCACCTGCAAACATTTCCCCCACCACTCAGATAGCATCATTTGCTCTTTCGTCTTCTGAGAGCAGATGTATTTGATTAAAGACATCACTAGTTTCTCATGAAAGAATTCATGAATTAATTTGACAGTAGCTACTGAGTGCTCACATCCAAGGTGTTAAAACAAATATTATTCCTATCTAATTTTATGATGTTTATTTCTAGGACCCACAGATCTCAGCATGAAGAGGCAGTTGGCGACTAGCTCGGGATCATCCAGCAGTTCAAGCTCCAGACCTCAGCTGAGTCCAACTGAAATCAATGCTGTGAGACAGCTTGTTGCAGGATATCGAGAATCAGCTGCATTTTTATTGCGTTCTGCAGATGAACTGGAAAATCTCATTTTACAACAGAACTGAGTCAAATGATGACCATATTCACTGAGTTCTAAATTTGCAGTTTCCACTAATGACATTTTGATTTCCCAGCAGAGATACTTCTGGTCTCACTGCACAATCTTTTAAGAGAAATACTTCCATTATCGCACATTGTCCCTGATCCATAAAGTGATGTGTTAAGGTGCTTCAAAGGAACTCTAACCTCTGAAGTACTTGAGATACTTAAATGGGCCCAGCCTATTGCTTTTTGTTTTAGTGTGTCAGCATAAATATCATGGGCAAACAAGGCTGCATATTCTTAACTCAAGGATAAAACAGAAGAAACTTGTGGTATTAAAAAAATGTAGTTCAAGATCCAACTGAAACATTAGTGGAATTTGCTACTGACTCATTGGACTGAAAGCTGAATTACCTGGCCCCCCCAAAAAAAGCCAAATTCTTGTTGCTACAGAATATAACAACAATGAAAAGGATCTTGTATTTTAAAGAAAATATGTAATTTTTATAAAAAGAATACTTGTTTTTCATTCAGAATTGTCATTTTTACTTTGGTAACTTTTTCATAGGTCCTAAAAGAAAACTGTTTTGAGAAACTACTGTAAGTACTTTTTCCACATCCCTTTGCCTTCTCTTTCCAAATTCTTTCTACAAAAAATAACACTTGATGCTGGAAAAACCTTTGCCTACGTTCTTTAAATCATCACATCAGGAATTACTTCCAAAAGAAGCCTGCATTTCTGCACTAATACTGGTCTCAAAAAATCCACTCCATACTGCAGCTTTACCGTAGCAGTTTTCATCAGAATTTTTTAAATGTTCATGTTGAAAAAAAAAAAAATCACTCCTTGGTTCCTTTAGAACTGCTCACTCCTGATTGCCGCTGCTGTCTTATAAGCATCCTTCTAGCAGCGATTGGATGTAGATGACTGAATGTTAAGAGGTTGCAAGTGACAATCTGAAAATTTGCACTCTTGTGTGTGGTTTTTCTTTTCGTTTTTCTCTTTCTGAAATATTTCCAAAAAGACCGTTATGTCTTCTGGTATGATTTGTATAATTTGCAGTTTTAGCTAAAAATAAAGAACTCTCAGCGGATGCAGCTGCAACTTACAATGAACTGTTCCCTCCTCTTCTCCATACTTTGCCCTTCTTTCTTCTTTTCCAGTGTTGGATACACATGAGTGGTGTTTTCTTTGTGCACTGAGGCAAGCCTGTTTTTAAAATATTTAGGAAGAAGTACTTTAGTTCATACTTCTTGTATAATTATTTATTTCTGTCTATGAGCTTTGGTTGGATTACAAATTTTTTGTGCATTCCTGAATTTGCCTTATTTCATGTAAAATTTATGTCATTCAGTTTTTGACAATGAGTTGAAGGCATCAGTGATATTTCTTATCTACTTGTTACATATAGTTTTTCAAGTAATGACTGTGATTGTGACCAAGTAATGTGCACTTTTTCTTGTAACTGTGGACATTGCTATGCTTTTTTCTTCTAGTGTTTCTAGAATTACTATTCCTTACAGTTATGTAAACAAAAAACCCACAAAAACAAAAAAGAGAACTTTTGTGATACTGTTGGTGAATATAATGTGAAAATCTTATTGAAATATGAGTATTTTGGAAATACATAGATGCACAAACATCTTTTAAAGTGTGGATTTAGAATTTGCTTATTTAAATGAAAAATCATAAATTGAGGGCTGATATAATTTTCTCTGTTTTGTTTGGTTTTAATAAACAGATTTCTGTGTTAAACAATGATTGTGAAACCTTATAAACTTTGTGAATAATACAGTGGTTAACTTTTAACTATTTAAAATTTAAAATGCTATTTTGTGCCTACATTTAGTACATTTGAAACTCCAAACTTATTTCTCAAAAATACTCCCAGTTTCCCCAGGGCCTCAACATTCAGTATAAGAACGTATTATTCTAAGAATGAGTAAAGGAAATTAGCAAGCCAGTGCTACTTCATTTGATTGTTTAAAACTAATTTAAGATGTATTTGTTATCTTTTATTCCTTACTTTTTAAGAGTAACCTAGCTCTTTTAATCCTTCCGGACTTAAAGAGACGCACACTCTGTTTATTAAAGTGCCTGTATTATTCTTGGGGTTTTGTCATAGTAGTAGTTAAAGGCTTTGACATAGTTTCCATTTCATAAATTAACACTAAAACTTGAGTTTATTGTACAGATTAAAATTTATTAATTATGTTAGAAGCAACTGGGAAACAGCAGGTAAGTTCCAGCAAAGTGCTCTTGTTTTCATTTTATTTTATCTCAACATCGTAACTCCCTCACCTACTCACCAAGGGCTAAATTTCCTAATGTGTTTTGCTTTTACTTTTATTGGAAAGAATGATGCCATCGAGACTCCATCATTTACCTAAGAAAGCACATGGGTCAAAATGAAGTACCAGTTTGTTTTTCCTTTCCTTTGTGACCTGTGCCTGAAGAACAACCCAATCTTATTTTACATTCTGTCAGAGAAGCACAAATGGATCACAGCTCTCTATAAAGACTTCGGAGAAAATGAGTGAAGATTCATATTCTCATTGAAATGAGGCAATAGAAAACTATAATCAACACAGGAGCCAGAAGTTTCTGTCCCTTCTGCCAGTTCCTCGTTACAGTTGTATAGTATTACTTTATCATACTTAAAGAGAAAGTGTTCCTTAAAATAGCCACGGAAGATACAAGCATGAATGGTCGCTGGAAACTACTTGCATTGTGCAGCTCAGGTAAAAACACTAGTTAAAAAGGGCATACGATTGATGATAGCCACAGTGTCTTAGTTACTTACACAAAGAAAGGCATTTTGTTTCCTTTACTGCTGAAGATAACCTTGTGATATTGGAAGTTTCTCTTCAATCTACAAAATAGGCTCAAGAAGATCCTGCAACTGAGCAATTTAGGGAGACAGGTCTCAAAATAAATAAAAATGTGTGTTTTCCAAAGGCTGGGGATGGAGCACAGTTTATAGGCCCTGGGTAGGGCCTAGTACTACCAAAAGAAAGTGGGGAGGCAGGAGGGGAAGAGGAGGAGAGGCGGGGGGGGGGGGACCTCTTGTCAAGACCTCAAAGACAGCTAATACCATAGTTTGAACCCAGACACACCTGATGCTGGCCCTTCCCTATTGGTTGCAAACATCAGCTGCTTCCCAGGTAAAAAATCATTGTGCTCTGTGCTATGACTTTGATATAGGCTTTTATACTAAATTTTAGAAGTTTTCTTTGTGCAGATAAATCACAGTTACTTATTAAAATAGTTGACTAAACAGAGAGAGTGGATTATAGAGTTTAAATTTCCTTCAAGTTATTTTCTCTGCAAATAAAAAGAGCTACAATAAAACTCACCACTAATGAAAATCAAATACTCATATCATGACAAGGAGACGTGGTGACGTTTAAACAACAGTAGGTGCCAATATTGAACCTTGTAAGGAGAGTTTAAAAAGGAATTATCTAGTTAAACCCATAAAGATAAACCTTGTCATGAATGCAGATATCACTCAGACTGGTCTTTATATGTCAAAAGTATTTTCTGAATTCAAATGGACCAGGCTTCAAGATGTAGCTCAAAGAAAAGAAATCCAAAAACAAAGCAGATATACATCAACATGCCTATCTTTTTATCTTCTAAGGCATGTTTGGGGTGCAGAAATTTGCTGAAGTGGGAATTGAGTATAAATTAACCTACAGAAACTCATCTCTTAAAATGTTTTGAAGGACACAAAGTACTGTTGATACAGCAACCTATTTCCAGTTTTAATGTTAATCACTCTTGGTATTTATATATTTTTATTAAAAATTGGGAAATAAACAGAGATATGAATAATCTAAGATTACGTAAAGAACATTGTATAGTATATATTTAGATTTTATCTAAAATATATATAAATACTTTTATGTTGGATTTTACTGTTTATGTTTGATCATTTGCTTTTCTTAACTATAGCATAAATATTTTCTACATCACCCAGTATTATTAAATTATTTTTAATGATCATGTAGTATTACACTAGATGAATGTGTCTGCATTGCTTTCTACTGCTACTGTAACAAATATCCACAAATAACATACAATTATTATAGCTATGAAAGTTAGAAAGTTTGGCTTAGCTAAAATCAGGGTGTAGCAGGTTTTAGAGAATCCAGCTTTTAGAACCAATCTGCATTCCTAGGCTGGTGGGACCCTCTCTCACTTTCAAAACCAAGAACACAAATGAGGCATCTTTGAAACTTTGATGTCTGTATTCCTTTCCAAAGCATTTAGGGATTTTTGTGAATATAGTGGGATCACCCCGATAACACAGGGTAATCTCTTTCTATTAAGTTCAGCTAATTAATGACCTTAATTCCACCTACAATCTTAATGCCTTAATTTGATATTTAACAAAACACCTCCACAGATTCTGATAATTAGGACATTGGTATATCTAGGGAACCATTATGTTACCTCTACAGTGCCTTAATTTAATTTCCTCTTTAAAATTTTTAAGTACCTTTCTGTATCCTGTTATATCTGTCTATTCACTTTGCAAGAAACAGACTAACTTAGCAAAACTCTCATTTTGCAAATACTTTTTAGTTGCTGCACCGGCTCTTTTTCTTTTGCATGAACTATAAAGGTTGTCATCTTTTAGAAATTATTTTAATGGAATTTTCCTGGAATGTCTCTCATTCAAGTTTAATGTAATAAACAAATATGATAAAAGTGCGGATAAATCTTTCAGGGGAAATAAAACAAAAATACCTCTGGAACCATTCCTTCACATTGATTTCCTTGAATCTGTTTCTACCCAAGAAATTCCCTGAGATGTCTGAGAGGGCTCCAACTCATTAGGCCAGAAGGGATGCAAGAGGATCCAAAGCTTAATTAAATTCTGTAAGCAATCCAGCTACATTCATAAAGCTTCCAATAATAAGTACCATTGGTGTTTCATTTACTCTGAACAATTAAAAGATAGAGTTAATGTTAGATGTGATTAGATGGCATATCTTTTGAAAGGGAGGGTTTAGCAATAACAAATCTATTAAATTTAGAATAATGATTTGAGTTTAAAAAGCAGAGTTATTTTACTTTAATTTGTTTGCTAGAACAACTGTTTCCATACTAAAACTGTAAACCCCCTCACTTACCACTCTTTTCTTTCCTCTCAGAGTCCATCAGGTAAAAGAAGATCTAAAGTTAATGTCAGAATGACTTGTAATGCAATGAGAGAAAATAATGTAACAAAATCACAGAATATAGAGACTAAATCTGTTACTAAAAGTGTGGGATTGATATCAATTTTTTCCCTTGAGACTTTTGATTTGTCCTCTTCTTTGTTTACTGGAGAGTTGGTTAGGTCAAGCTGGCTGTAAGAAACATCTTCTATTTAATCAAGGCACTCCATTGTAGTGCCAGGACTAGTGGCCAGAGACTCCATAATATTTATTCTTAGTTTCTCTCATAGAAGGATCCTGAGGTTGGCTATGAAACAAATCCAATGGACTAAATAAGTCTCAACTCAGTTTTAATTCATTGCCTCTGTGCATTCTTTATCTACTATATGCTGGGCATTGAACTGTGATACAGAAAAATTACTACTCCTGATCCAATGAGCCACCATCAAGAGGAGGAGAGAAGCAGAAATGATATTAATCCAACAAGATTAACTGTAATCTTGCAACAAGCAGTGATAGAAACCTTCCAGAGAAGCCCAAGGATGGGTGGGATGGTATTCACAAAGACTGGAAGCCCTGTCTTGGAGGTAAAGAAGTAGGAGGGAGCTCATTGGTTACAAAGGCTGGAGCTGTGGGAAATACCTGGCAATGTTGTTGAGTGTGATTGGAGAGCATAGAAGAAAAAGAAAGCCATGTCCACGAAGGTTGTTTCAGCTACAGAGGACAAGAACATGAGACATACAGAAGAAGTATGGGGTAGCAAGACGTATGTGGTCAAGACAGCTCGATGTGGATGAGGAGTAGAACTTAAGGATGAAATGAGATTCCAGGAAAGTAAAAGTGACAGGTGAAGCTTTACAAGTCACACTGAAAGCCATGCCCTGTAGAAAACTGGGATTTTATTGTTTTACTTTATTTTAATTTTGAGGGATGAGGATCAAACCCAGAGCACTGTACATGCTAGACAAGCACTTTACCACCAAACTACAGGGCAAGCCCCCACTGATGCATTTGAAACAGTGAGAGGTAAACATAGTCTGGCTTCTCTTGGGACTATTTGCATGATACACTTGAGCAGAAATTTCTGAAGAAGTTGAGGTAATGTTGACTCATAGAACCTCCTTTTAATCATCAAAAGTAATCCGAAACAAAATAAGACAAATGAAGAAAGATTAGTGAATGATTTCATGAGCAGCCACGAGGAAGGAAGAGGCTTCATCCTACAACCAACAAGTGGGAGCCAGTAAAAGCCACAAAATGTTGCACCAAAAGGCCCAAAGTGACTTCTTCCACAGGAGACAGATCCAAAGAAAGACAGACAAGTAAAAAGGGTTTCAACAAAGATACTATTAATCCCCTACTTTTGAAGAAGGAAACATGAGGGATGGGTGACCCAATTAGGATAAGTATACATTCCACTCTTCAAGCATACCTGGCCCTCTCTTTTCTTATGAGAGGTCTTCATAAAAGAGAAGCGCCATCAGGACTTGCCATTTTCTGTTTCCATTTCAGCCAGCACCCCCCATCCT